CCACCCGACGTCAGGATCGTCAGATTGTGCGACAGCATCTTCAAGATCGCTTTGTTACTGCTGCGGAAACTGCTTGGCAGACCATGGGGACACACCAGCGACACATTAGTGTGGACACCGTGCGTCGACGATTGACGAGCAGACACCTCCACCGTTACAGGCCAGTCGCTGGAGAAGAGAAGAGTCTGGGCTCAAGTGCCTATGGCCTTCATCAACCACCATTCCATGTATCGACGTTGCACGGCAGTCATTTATGCACATGGCGGACACACGAGATATTGACTTGTGATACCATTTTCTCAGAGACTAGTGTTGTGTTATCTTTAAGAACATTTGACACTTAATTTCAATCTTGATTATTTTTGCCAAGTTTCATCTTTTTAAAATGTCTCAAAGTATGATTATAGTGTTTGGACAAATAAGATGTCTCATATATCAATCCATGGTAACGTTTCTTTTTGCGGTTCAGTATATTTAGATGCTCGAATTATCTGTAAACTCCCGGAATAGCATGGATTGATGTCAAGCCCTCTAAAAACATATGGAATATTCTGTGATGTTCTTGTGACTCACGACTGGTCAAGCTCTTTGTGGAAAGAGCCTATATCAGTGGAGCAGCGCGTCGCTGTCTCATCTTACATTTCATCTGACATTGCATCAAGACCAGCTCTCATGTGAAGATCACTTATCACCCGAATTTCTAACCTTGGCCTATCACAAAAGCATGACCACTTTTGCTGCTGAGTAAATATATTATTACCATTGACTTTTGCTATCACCACTGTTTTTGTATTTGATACTGACCACTGCTATCGCAATATTTTGCGCCATGGAATAGGTACAACCACTCTTCTGTGTACTGCCATTGTAATTGCTGTATATTGATTTGTAAACCTAGTTCATTGTGCAATACAATTGCTGATTGTATACCATTTGTTGGTTGTTTTTGTTGGTTTCACATTAAATTATTTTACATACATATGTCTGGGATAACTTATTGTTTCAATTTGGGAATCCACACGTAACACTATAAATATATTGTGGACATAATTGTAAGTGTTGGAAGTACAGAGTGTCTGTAACAATATCTAATATACCTCATATTATGATTCCAGGTTAGAATTGTCCCACAGCAACCTGTGCTGGTCGTAAGACGCAAGTAAATCAACCGAGTGGTTAATTGCGTGCCATTGTATCCGACGGCGTCAGTCGTGGCTCAAAATATCTATCACTGGATTGTCTGGTCCAGACTCAATTGTTTACAGGCCGCCGTCATATAGCTAGGGTATTGCTGAGTGCGGCGTTAAAATAACACACAAATAACATCGAACATGAAAACACCGTATCATACTTTAGTTCATAAACATTATTAGTAAAAAAGTGTTACATCATATATGTGAATGCCGGCCGTTAGAGAAGTCAATGAATTGAGTGATCAGGATGGTGACGTAGTTGATTGTATGACAGCCCCCGGCATGGGATGTTGCCAAATATGTGGTAGCTTTGGCTAGTCCGGATTTGACTTTTTACAAGATGACGCCATACAGCTAGAATATTGCTCAGTACAGCGTTAAACAAACAATCAAATATTAATATGATTGATCCATATAAAAGTATTTTTTTCATTATAAAACGGAAAGGAGGAAAACATTAATTATGCATACACATAATATACTGAACCAAATTAAAACTTCACAATCCTCGAATTTTAACATTTTGACCAGTTATCATTGTGGGCCCTTATTGTGTATTTAAACAGTAATGGCCACGTATTTTCTTCAGATAACACCCGTTTTTGTGCAGGTGAATCGATCAAAATCATGTGCACAGCATTATAGTGGCAAAAGTGTTTTTTCACGTGCAACTGGTCACGTGGCCATAATACCGCACGTGTTTCCAGCCATACTTGTTAGCAGTCATTAACAAAAAATGAAAAAGACAAGAAAACGAAAGTCTTTACGGCTATTTGTCATGCCACGCCTTTCAAATGTGCAACGTGAACGTGCAATCGGCATGTTGCAGACGGGAACGTCCGTAGCTGAAGTCGCAAGGACGATGGGTTGTAGTCGACGGACTGTTTATCATTTACAGACGCAAACGGGTACCACCGCTGATCGCCCTCGGCCGGGTCGACCACATGTGACGTCACATGCAGAGGATCGTCACCTTGTCTTACGTCACCTCCGTAACCGATTTTTGACGGCTACATCAACCAGAAATGAACTGTTTAGGGGTAGACTGAGTGCGCAAACTGTTCGAAACCGTCTGAGGACTGCTCACCTTCAAGCACGGCGCACTGCCGGCCGATTCTGACTCAATTACACAAACGTCAACGTCAATTGTGGGCACAGCGACACTTACGATGGACTCAGAGGGATTGGAATCAAGTCGCCTTCAGTGATGCATCCCGATTTAATCTTCGATTTGCTGATGGTAGGGCGAGAGTGTGGAGGCGCCGTTACGAACGTTACGCCCAGTGTTGTGTACAGGAAGTTGACAGATTTCGAGGCGGAAGTGTCATGGTGGGGGGTGCTTTCTGTGGCAATGCACGTTCCAGGCTTCTTGTCATCCGTGCTAACCTCAACGCTGCTGCTTACCGCGACCAGGTACTGGCACCAGAACATCTGCCTTTTATGGCAGCACATGGACCCTGTTTGATCTTCCAACACGACAATGCCAGACCCCACACAGCAATTTTGACAAGGAATTTCCTTCAGAATGCGGGAGTCAAAGTCATGGACTGGCCGTCAAGGTCTCCCGACCTCAATCCCATCGAACACGTCTGGGATGCTCTTGGCAGAAGTCTGCGCACTCTCCAGAACCAACCACAGAATTTGCAAGATCTTGGCACCATTTTGCAGCAACAATGGCATCGTCTTCCCAATCATGTGTTCACAAGCATCACAAGGCCCATGCGGAGGCGTTGTGTGGCAGTTGTCAACGCACATGGTGGCCATACACGCTACTGAACTTGTGTTCCATCAGATTCTCGTGCTTGGGACTTATGATTTAAACTGTTGATGTTATTACCGAATACCGTAGGTGCTTGGAACTAATTATGGTTACCACCGTTAATTAAAATCCTTCTTTGGACATTAATGATTAAAAATTACCTTCTCCGATACATTTGTCCGTTGTAAATCATATATGGGATTACTTTTAAAGAGATTCAGTATATATATATATATATAGGTTTTAATCTTGGACATTTCCCTAGATTGAATTTCACATCTCCAGTCTGGTGAATGTCACATTAACAATGAGCAGGCAATGAGACAACCTCACGCTGTGTATGATGAATAAAGCACGGGTTATTTTTGGCTCATCGCTGTCAGATTGCTTCAAGGAAACAAAGGTGAATGGTCGTCATGGTACATTTCACACACTGTTAAGATGCTAGGGGTCCTTAGCATCCCATGCGTGTCGTAGGAGAAGACTAACGGGACTTACTTGATGCAGGCATCGTATCTCAATGTGTTTCAAAAATCACAAATTGTACGGACTGACAGAAACACCAAATTACCTTCTTTGTGCTTTAGATATCGGTTCATAATATGGAATATTGTTGATTGCAGCGTTAATAACAAACCTACAATACAAACAAAACACAGCATGACTTATTCATCACATATATATACAACCAGAGAGCTCGTCTTGCCCAAGGCTATATATTCACACAACCACATTAATGCATCAATAACATTACTATTCATAATATCATTATATATATAAAATTTTATTTACATAACTTCCAAAACTCCACAATATCTTAAGTTAATTTAATTCATCCAAGTTTAAACACAAACTCAATCAGACACACTAAGCACGCTTAATAAGCACGTACATTATAGTCAAAGGTTCTGAATCAGATACAGCAACAAAATAAGAATCACATGGCATTATCCGTGTTGGATTTTTAATAACATGTTTTTTATATGTCTACAAGGTTATTATAAGTGGGGCTTTGTACATGTACTCAACCCTGTTACACGGCCAGTGTCACATTGTGGGACATGCCTGGCACTTGAACACATATGAATAACGTTGTAGGGCTTGCCGCGGGATGCTCTGTCATCCGTTATATTGGTTAGCACTTTGAGACGACTGTCGTCACACTGTGCTCATAGATTTCGTTGGTCGTGATACCCTCTAGAATGTTACTCAGGTCCCGTTGCGGAAGCTCTGTATCCATACGACATCACTCCAATGATTCGTGGGTCAGGAAATTTGTTCCTTTTTCCGTTTTAATTTGTAGGTGATATTCGTCCTTGTGGTTTGTCCATAGCAAACGCACTGCAACTATTGTGCTTGTCGCATTGTAATTAGGTGTACGGGGATGGAACTTTGGGCTAAATAAACCATACATGTCCCTAACATTGATAAATGGTATCTATGTGAAACCTCCTGACACAGAGTAGACATTTGGTAACAACACAATAAGCACACCCTGATATGGTTTGCCTCCATGCATGTGTTTAAGTTTAAACAAATATTCTATGTTTAAATTGACGTATAAGGATAGCCAATGGACGTATAAAGCAATTCGAAGTAAATTTATATATTTTCTATAAATGTAATGCACTTCAGATTCCGACAGGTCCACACGCTTAACCCCACTCAAAAACACCACCACCTGCTACCACTAACAACCCGCTACCTCACACTACCACCACCACCACCACCATACCGCAACACCAACAGCCACACTCACGCCCCACCACCACAACATCACACTACTACCACCACCAAACCAAACAGCTCCGGCCACACTTACACCCCACCACCTCGACCTCACACTACCACCACCACCACCACCACACCCCAACATACCCAGCCACACTCTCATTGCATTGCTAATGTCTAAATCGAACCTCAACATTGTAAGGAACAGAATTGTGGTTCAACCCAAAGCTGTAGTCTGCAGGTTTGACAAAGGTAAGACTGTGGTACAAGACATAGAAACGATTTAGGAAGAGCTCTGGTCTTGCTTGAATGGAATGTTAGATCCTATTTCTGATCTCAACTTTGTAACGAAGAGGTTTCATGTTCAACCCGAAGCTACACTCCATGGTGTATTCTTGTACATCTTTAGGTTTGACAAAAGTACACCTTTGTAGAAAACCTGAAATGATTAAAAACAGCTCGGTTCTAGCTAGGAACTCTCCCATGCATCGTCGACGTCCTGTGGAGAAAGGAAGATACATGTCCACGAGACGAGTGTCGATCTGACCATCATCTTTCAAGAAACGCTCTGGACGGAATACCTCAGGATCTCCCCACACTTCCTTATCATGACTCAATGAAAACAGATTGAGAAACACTAGAGTATCCTTCTTGATGGTGTAACCAGCCAGTTCCACATCCTCAGTGGTTGCATGGGGCAGAGATAACGGTGTGAGGTTGATGATGCGTAGAATTTCATGAATGGTTGCTTCGGTGTACACCAGATTACGTCTATCGGCCAATGTTGGACGTCTGGACATACCAACGACAGCGTCTAGCTCCTCCTGTATTTTCTTTTGGACTTGCGGGGTCTTTGCAAGAAGAAGGAGTGTCCACATAGTCGTAGTAGCCACTGTATCAAACCCAGCAGCAAACAGATCTCCAATTGTATCCTGAATCCGTTCTTCACTCATACCATTTGCCTTGTCCTCCTCTGTTAATTGTCTTGACTCATTAATTAGGCTGTCAGTAATATCCCGGAGATAATCAGAAGAGAATGTTTCCAGGTGGTCCTGAATCCTTTTTCTGCGGATAAGATGTCCCTTCGATAGAAGATCTTTGAACTTGTTGATCCTCTCCTTCATGAAATGCCGTAACCATGGGAAAATATCAACTGGATTCCCAGCAGTAACGAATGTAGAGAAGTCCTGAGTGTGCAGAATGTACTCACAGAAGTCCTTGTCTGCCCTGACATTGCCTTTCCTCCCATAACAGATCTGATATACCACACTCCCCATTGCAATGTAAATGTGATCGTGTGGATCAAACGCTCCGCCGTTGTACCTCTCAAACTCCTCCAAAATATAGCTCACCTCCTCGTTTATAATTTCTTCAATAGGATTGCTTCGTGCATTAGCGAATGCTTGGAAGGATTTATTTGCTATGCGCCTGTGCAATTTCCAGGATATGTCGAATTTTCCAAAAGATAGACTTTTGCCATTTTGAACGGACACAGATGAGAAGAACTGTGGTCGACCAGAGAAAGCATCACCTTTGGTAGAAAGCGCCTCCTTGATCAGCTTCCCGTGGATCACTACTGTTGGCCATGCTCCAAACTGCAACTTGATGAGATCTCCATAGATCTTTCTCATCTTCATAAAAGTCAGAAATGGCGTTTTACCAAGGAAAGGCATATGGCCAACTACAGGTAGCCCCCAGGGACCAGGGGGATATTTGTTCCTGTTCGTTAACCTGTGTAGCAGTGTCAGTAGAGACGCTGATGCCAAGAAAACAACTCCTGCTTTCCCAAGGGCATTTATGTCACGAAAATAAATGCACATATCACCAACGTACCTCTGAAGAAGAGCCACGGTTGACATCCTGAAACTAGACAAAGATTCATCCCAATGATGTGTTTATTGTTTAACGCCAGAAATACATCATTTATAATTATGAAGGCAGTCTCTAAATAATCGATTCTGGGCTGACCAACCACTGGACTTGGGATCAACGACACACTGTCAAGGTATGATGACAAGCGATACAGTTTGAAATACAAATATATACCTGTACACTTATGAGTGAGTTGGGTTTTACGCCGCTTTTAACAGTATTCCAGTTATATCACGGCGTTTCAGCTTAATGTGGGAGGAAAGCGCGAAGTGGTGCCCACGAGCACGGGTATGGTGCTGACAAACCTAGAAACATAATCGGGGCGTACCCGGATTCGAACCAACAATCATAGGTTTCTGGCGTGCCCAAGGGACGCAACTCTGCACAGCGAATCGCGGCGCCTTAGACAACTTGGCCACCCGTGCCCCCTGTACACTTATGAACAACACATATTAAGACTTTGGCTGACCAATGTTCTCTGTAGCCATACACCCTTTCTGATTGGTATGTTGACGTTTCGACCATTGAATTAATTAACGATCGACAATGGAACAAGATGTAATGTTTTAAAAAAAGAAAAGGAGCTAGTGATGATGCATTGAATAAGCAAGTGACAAGGAATGGCTACTAAAAATACTTACTCAAAATTAAAACGTTTGTGCCCTCACTCGAAATACAGGTCGGAATGTGTATTCCATGAAGAAATCAATGATCCTGAAATATTGCTGCGTCTCTCAGACATCAACTCTCAAGCAGCATCAACTCTCAAGTATCACCAGTATGTCTGTACACAACACTAGTGCACAGCAACAGTCGAGTATGTCCATTGGTTAAAGCTGATCAGATGAGCAGTCACATCTCCCGCTTCGTTATGTAACAACTGACTGACATGTGAACCTATATAATGACCCAATATATATTAACATAACTGAAGGTTGTCTAATGTCTTGGGGTTCATTCGGTGTCTTTGAGTTTATTTCCTTTACTTAGTGTATGTAAATATAGAGATTATAAAAGGTACGGCAAATATGCAACACGTTCATTCTTTGGCGTTGATGGTTGTTTTACCAACAACTCAATTTGCCCCTTGAACAGTGTAGCGATGGATGGGTTTCACTGTTGAGTAAGAATGTTTCATGAAGGTCACGTCACACACAAACGTCACACTGAAATAATTTAAAATAGGTATGGAACATATTTAAGTAAGGTGAGGTGAGGTGAGGTTGGGTGGGGTGTCACAGCTGATCTCAATATTTGTTGATCCCTTATGTTGTGTAGTGCAGTACAGGTGATCATGAGACCTTACCGACCATAAAACAAGTTACAAGCACTTCAGGTCTACGACAACACACACAATCATTACACATTTTTAAGCATTTGCCCAAGTTACATTTCACTATGAAATAGAAAATCCTTTTCGTCTTACTTCATTCATAACAAGGTGATAAGATTATTAAGGTTTATTACCACCGCTTTCAATTCGGTAAAACATATGCCGAATACAGAACAAAAGAAAAATATCAATGACGTAACCATAGTAACCATAATGATCACAGTAACCATAATATCCATAACAACCTTAATGGCCATAGTAACAATAACAACCATAACAGCCTTAATAACCATAGTAACCACAAGAACTATTATATCCATAACAGCTTTAAAAAACATAGTAACCATAATAGCCTATGACCATAATATCCATAACAGCTTTTATAACCATAGTAGCCATAATAACCACTATGACTATAATATCCATAACAGCCTTAATAAACATGGTAGCCATAATGATCAAAATTACCATAATATTCATAACAGCCTCAATGACCATAGTAACCATGACGATAACAGTAACCATAATATACATAACAGTCTTAAAAACCTTAGTAACCATAATAACCACAATGACCATGATATCCATAACAGCTTTAATAAACACAGTAAACATTATGATCACAATAACCATTATATCCATAACAGCCTAAATAACCATAGAAACAATAATGATCACAATAACTATAATATCCATAACAGTCGTAATAACCATAGTAACCATAATAACCACAATGACCATAATATCCATAACAGCCTAATAACCATAGTAACCATAATGATCACAATAACCATGCTATCCAAAACAACCTCAATAACCATAGTAACCATAATGATCACATTAACAATAATATCCTTAACAGCCTTAATGACCACAGTTACCATGATGATCACATTAACCATAATATCCATAACAGCCTTAATAACCATAGTTACCATGATGATCACAGTTACCATAATATCCATAACAACCTCAATAACCACAGTAATCATGATGATCACAGTAAGCATAATATCCATAACAACCTCAATAACCACAGTAATCATGATGATCACAGTAACCATAATATCCATAACAACCTCAATAACCACAGTAATCATGATGATCACAGTAACCATAATATCCATAACAACCTCAATAACCACAGTAATCATGATGATCACAGTAAGCATAATATCCATAACAGCCTTAATAACCACAGTAACCATGATGATCACAGTAAGCATAATATCCATAACAACCTTAATAACTACAGTAACCATGATGATCACAGTAACCATAATATCCATAACAACCTTAATAACCATAGTAACAATAACAGCCCTAAGAAACATAATCACCATAATGATCACAATAACCATCATAATGACAATAACGATAATAACCATAACAGCCTTAATGACCATAGTAACAATAATGATCACAATAACCATAATAGCCTTAATATCTATAGTAACCAAAATAACAACAAAAACCATAGTAATCATAATAACCACACTAACTGTTGCAGCAAGAAACACAGTACGATACTCTCACCAAAAGTGTATTCATATTCTCATTTTCACAACGTTGCAGCGTAAGCGTTACCGTTATAAGACATTCGTTGGTGATGATAAGGTTCAGAAATCTACAACGAGAAACAAAACAATTGCTAAGTTTTCAACACTAACCCGAACCATTCAAAGTATACAACTATTCTAATTCCAAGTTGCAAAATGATAATCACTTAAACTAAATGTTTCATATGTACATAAAGACAATATAAAGGAAAGGAAACAAAAACTCACATCTGTGTTCTTCCATAAACCACCCGTGAACCCTCTTGACAACATGTGGGCCACGGGTGGCCCAGTCGTCTAAGGCGCCGCGATTCGCTGTGCAGAGTTGTGTCCCTTGGGCACGCCAGAAACCTATGATTGTGGGTTCGAAACCCGGTTCGCCCCGATTATGTTTCTAGGTTTGTCAGCACCCTACCCGTGCTCGTGGGTTTCACTGAAGTGGTAAACGTATGAGACCTGCATCACTTCGGGCTTTCCTCCCATATTAAGATGACACGCCTCGATATAACTGGAAGACTGTTAAAAGCGGCGTTAAACCCAACTCACTCACTCACTCTTGACAACATGGAGGCGTTCTGTCCTTCCCACAACACGTGCTTGTGATCACGTGATCAGGAGCCAGGATGTAAACTAAATATAAAAGCTGAAAAAGAAATTAGGCAGCTGGGTGGGTTTGAACCCTATAACCTCAGTAGTAACACATGATTATATTATCGTTGCAAGTGATTTACTCATTGAACCAGGGACACATAAGAACTTATGTTGATATTTAAAAAAAATTATACTTATGTTATACTTTTAATAATTTGAAACTTTAGACTAAGTGTTCCGCTCGTACACTAACCATTATTATAACAATGAATACAATGACCATAATAAACATAGTTAATTTAATAACCACAATAACCTCACAACCAAAATAAAACAATAACCATAGTAACCATAATAGCCGAAATAACCAAACTAACCACAATATTCAGAATAACCAGAATAACCTCAATAACCATACTAACCAGAATAACAATCATTATGTTCTAATTAACTGTGTTTAAACGAACATTTACCATGACAATATATTCCACTCATGGGTAATGCCAACCGCATCTGACAGGTGAGCGGGTTTATAGCAATAATCATACATTACATGTAGACACGGGGGAGGTCGAGTAGACTAGTGGTTGAAGCGTTCGCTCGTTACACCGATGACCCGGGTTCGATTCCCGACATGGGTACAATGTGTGAAGCCCATTTCTGGTGTCCCCCGCCGTGATATTGCTGGAATATTGCTAAAAGTGGCGTAAAACCATACTCACTCACTCACTCACTCACTCACACATGTGGACACGCGACTGTTAAGCGGCTGTTATTTTATATTCCATATCAAACACCGACAATCCTTATTCTCAGTCGTTACGAAATTACAACAATATTCTTGTGGTATCACGCTTGAACTTTTAATAATATGAAAACTAGATCTACTTTTTGTAATTTTAAAGATTACCTATCTGGACGCTGGGTCTCCTGTGTATCCAAATCTATGTCCCGAGTCCTGAATCACCCGTCGGTGGGCTCACTCACTGAAAGAAAAAACAATTCTTCTCCGTGCTGAGCAGCACTCAATGCCCATCGGCAAATTTCCATGACAAAAGATTCTCCTTGGACGTCTCAGCAACATTTCCAACAATCAGGTTCCTGTTTCGCATATTTACTGGCCATAGCACAGAGCCTGAAGCAACGATCAAAACAACTGCAATCATCCCCCAAAACAGATGAAAGAGAAATAACTTTTCCCGTTACACCTGCTTGGAATTGCGGTAGGGCTGCAACAAATCCTGCATAAACAAAGCCTGCCCTCTGCCTAATGCTT